AGAGAGAGAGAGAGAGAGAAACAAATCAACAGACAAAGACATAGACATAGATTGAGAGAGAGTGTGGGGGGGGGGGAACAAAAGAGAGAGGGGGAGAAGGATTAAGAACGAGGTCCACAGACAGATGTTTCAAAAAAAGTAATAGGTGGGAAAAAAAATGATTCTTTCTTTCAAGGCCATTAAGGTCTGTGAGGGGAAACTCGACAGTAAGCGCATTACAATGGTGGACCAAGTCTCATGGCTCAGAATGAACATAGGATTCAACAGTAAAAATACATTAACAGCAAATAAACATATAAAAATAAAGTTTCTTGGCTACAAAATGAACGTCATCGTCATTGTAAAACTATTCAAAAAATGGGGGACACACAACTACCTTTTCACGTCATCTATACAAATCCCTCTTGCAAGTGACAAAGTTGGAAAAACAAAAGTTAAAGAAAAAAGTCTTTCATGGTGGGCAAAACAATGATTTTAGACTTTTGCCGAAGACTCAAGAAAGAGCATCAAAACTTTATTTCATATATGACATCATTTCAATGCATGATGAAGTAAGGAGCATGCATGCTAGATAAACGATTACTTAAAATAAAGATAAAAGAAGGAGAATTGTTATTCACGTCTGTATAGAGAATACTTTATTTAATGGCGCAAGCAAAGTTTATAAATATCGTATTGAACCTGGTTTTATTTAACGATTATAAAATAATAGAAAGCTAAGATTAAATCATTTAAGGATTGATTATCTTAAAGGTGTGTAGCGCACCAAACGTGTTCGGGGCTTTTGCAAATACCCAAACACGCTCGAGTGCTCAGTCGAACGTCTTCCAAACGTATTCAGTCAAACTTTTTATTTTTATTCATGGGACCAGGGTGAGAACCCATCGATTAGCCGTCTGTGTGATTCGAGCATTGGATGAGGATTGGGTGATTCGAACCGGTTTTCTTTGTTTGTTGGTTTGTTTGGTGGACTGTTCCTTGGTTTGGATGGGACAAGAAACATGGGTTGGCGGTAGTTGTTGTCTCGGATGGATAGCGTAGGATTCGAACCGGTCTCCTTTGTTTGTCGTCTGTGTGTTTCGAGCATTGACAGTAGTTGTTGTCTCAGATGGATAGCGTAGGATTCGAACTGGTTTCGTTTGTTTGTTGGATTGTTTGCCAGACTGATTTTTTGTTTGTCATAATTTTGTCTGTTCGTGCGGAGGCTTCAGTAGCAGGAGGCGGGTAGGACTAGGATACGGAACCTCGACCTCGAACAGTCTTCGTTGGTCTGGTCCTAGGCGTAGTTTCCGGAATGGTTTGATGAAGGTATTAAATCTGGCCTACAGTCGGATCAACTCCTTTCGTGCTTGGCAGTGCTCACAACCTGCAAGCGCGTTACGAGTCAATGCGAACAACGATTCGCATGAGTTGGGCTTTCACGTTTGTTGTTACGGGCTAACAGGCTACGAGCGACATTTTTTCATACTATTTTCGGCAATTTTCAGACAATGACCGTTGTTTCATATCGATGTTTCGGGAAGAAGGAGGGGAGTGGTTCGGGGAGTGGTGGGCAACCCCCGTCATATCCACGGAATCCAATGGCGGGAAGAACATGCTATAAGTGCGGCGACCCGGACCACTTTGCTAATGTTTGCAAAGAGTATTGGGAAGCGAAGGAGAGTAACAAACCATTCGTGTCTCCGCCACTGGGCACAGGGCGGACCAAGCGAACGATGGCACCGGGCTCTGAGCGGAGGAACCTCTCAGCGGATAGCTATACAGTACGGAGCGAATCGGATGAGACAAATAGACTGATGAGGGAGTACTTCACACGTAAAGAGCGCGCGAGGGTTGAGAAGATTGACAAGGAGAAGCGAGGGGAAGCTGAGAGAGAAGCGGAAGCTGCTAGGCAGGAGAAGGCAAGGAGAAAACTGGAAAAAGAAGCAGAAAAGAAGCGAGAGCAGAAGGAACGAGACGATCAACTGCTGTATCTGATCAGGATGGAGATTCGGCGGGAAACAGGAAAGAAGGTCGAGAGCGAGGAATCGGAAACAAGGAAGTATGACAGGAAAACGAGAAAACCTGTGAAGACTAACGAGCGCGGTGAGACGATCGAAGAAGAGAAGGAACGACTCCGTCGAGAGATTGCATTGCTAGAAGCTGTGGAAGAGGAGGAGGAGGAGGACGACGAGCTCCAATGTTTAAGACGACGTGCGGCAGGATTGAGTATCCACGAGAAGAGGAAGCGAAGGAAGGAAATGCCGATAGGGGACAGTCCACCAATGACGACTCCAACAAAGAGGACAGGGTTGTCCACAACGGCAAAATTGAGAATCAAAGAACTGCGAAGTGCGGAGAAAGGGAAGGTGACGTCGAGCTCGATATTGGAAGCCGTTGGGAAAATCGGGCTATCATTGAAACACGTCATGGCGGGCTGCGGACCGGAAGGGAAAAAGAAGTTTGAGGCGGAGTGCAAGGAGTTATATGAAGCCTTGACAATCAATGAGATGAAGAAAGCTTGTAGACTAGAAAAAGTGACGTACGGCAAGCGGGAGTTGGTGATTAAGAGGCTGACGACTAGGCGGGTATTGAAGGCTTACGATCCAGTCAACATCCCATTGCTAGTGTCGCCAACATCGAATACGAGAGTGACCCGGAGTGCAAAGCGCACAGAGCAGAGAGAAGGGAAGGGGACTGATGATAGCAGTGAATGATGACGGGACGGGAGTGATTTTTGAGATATTTGTAGTGAGTTGGTCGAGAAGAGGCGACTGTGGGGGGATTAAGAACAAGGGAGATGAACGGTTATGCGCGCAACTGTGATCGAACAACTCGTACATGAACAGGTAAGATGGGGAAGGAAGTTTGTGGAGTATTGAAGGGAGGAATGTGAGAAGGGTAGTTTGGATCTGCGTAGCCCAAAGGGTTATGTATATAGACTGATATCCCCATGGCATAAGCAGATATACGTGGGGATGACTGAACGTGAACTGTGGGCTAGGTGGAAGGAACATGTGGGGTGTACTATCCAAGGACGCGGTAAGAGAAGTAGGAATCAGTATAATTGGCTGTGGAAAATGGGAGTACACAGGAGACGGGGGAAGGAAGGGGAAGCATCAGTTAGACTATGTGATATGCTGAGGAGTCTGATTGAACTAAGCCACGGGAAAAAGGTGTATGGGAACGGAGGTGGAGTATGGAGCGATAAGTGGCGGGTGGTGCGCCGGTTGTTTGGCGAATTGCGGGTGAAAGTCGGAGGAAGGACAAGGCCATTAAGGAAATGTAAGAAGCTACTGGAAAGCAGAGGGGAGATTGTGCTGCGGGATGTAGTTGAAGCATCCCCTCGCAGTCTGAAGTTGAAGAAAGAGATCGTGAGAATGTTCAAAAATAGGAAGAGAGCTGCAAAGTTAGCGCAACGTCCAATGGAGATGCTGGTTCATTTCTACAGTGCAGCGAAGTTATTTTCGCAGAAGAAGAGTAGGTCTCGGGCCAGGAAAATGATCTCCGATGCAATTAAGAAAGGACACAATGTGAATATTCGAAGAGGAGTAGTTGTGAAGGTAAGAGTTGACGAGAAAGTGAACAGAGTGGAAGTGGTGAGATTGGTGAGGAGGCTAGTGGGCGGACTACCCCTAGATGCGGAAATTCAGAATATGCTCAAATGTAGAGCCCGCGTTGTTTGGACGAGAAGTCCCAACGTAGGTGAAATTATCCATAACCACCGCCGTAGTGCGGCTATTGGATTTGCCAGATGCACATGCATCTGCATGGCCCTTCCTAAGGAGGATGGGCACGTCCTATTCCGGTTATCCACGTGGCAGGGTTATCCTGGGATCGCTGGGAATGCGAAAAACATCCCGAGAGATAGGATCGAAGCGCTCCATGAAAGATTGGAGGTGGAAATCAGCCAGGGCCTGTCGAACCTAGATTGGCTGGGTGATGGGATGGTGACAGAGAGGCCGCTACAGGAGGAATTGATGAAGTGCGTCGATGAATCGAAAGTGGATCAGGTTACTGATGTGGAACTTGAAGAAGTGCTCGCGGTGAAAAGAGAATTGCGAAATTTGGTCCTAGCCCCGTTGGATAGGAATCGAGGAGACACGCTGGTTATGTGCCCCAGTGTGTATTTTAGGGCGATGCGTTGAGAACGATGGTTACGTAGTAAGCATGAAGGAAGAAGCGGTAATTCTGAGCGAAATGGAGAAGGAGTTCAGAGGAAAGAAGTATGGAGGGATGGGGAAGTGGAAGGTGGATGGTGAGTTGGGGTCGGCGTACGTGCTGCCTTATCGGACTACCAGAAAGCGGTCACTTTAATCTGAAATCGGTTTTAGGAATGCGGGGAAAGTTGGAAAGGCTGAACAAAAAATTGGGACGCGCGTGTTCTGATGTTCGAGTGATGGCGGCGTCATACGATATAAAAAACATGTTTTCTAAATTGCCGCACTCGACCATCATGAAGTCCGTGGAGTGCTGTATTTGGTGGTACAAGGAGAAGGGATTCGAGGGAGTTGCCGTGAAGAGAAGAGGGAGAGAGATGAAGCTGTGCAGGGAAGGTGAGCCGGAGGGATATAGGCGAGTAGATTTTCGAATGTTGTTTGATTTTGTAACATCGGACTTGCGCAACTGCTACACGAAGGCTGGAGGGTACATCTTGCTATAGAAGATCGGGATTCCAATGGGGAAGTCTTCAAGCCCCCCATTGGCATGCCTTATGTGTGCAAAGGCAGAATGGGATTTTCTGATAACCCTTGGTGGGCAGAAGTGATTTGTGGCAGAACCGCGATTTGTGGATGATGCGTCGATGTTCGTAGCATACAATGGAAGAAGAATTGGATCGAAGGAGAGAACGTAGAAGATAATTAGGAAATTTGAGGAATACTACGACACGAATTTGACCCTGAAGAAAACCGAGGCAGATGATAGTGCATGGGAATTTTTGGGATGCGAATTGGTGGTAAGACACACATACTCGTACCTTGGCTGCTATCAGAAAGCAAAAAACGAGAGGGCACTAATTGATGGAGGCGATCTGGTCTTCCGTACGTTCCAGGATTTTGACTCATGGTCGAGCAAAAAGACAAAGATGGCGGCTATAGTTTGTGCACTACATAAAATTCAGCAGAATTCAATGACCAGTGCAAGAGTCATGGAAGCAATCATCTTGCTGAAGATGGAGTTGCGAAGACGGAAGTATCCGGATAAACTGTTCTCAAAGGTTTTGAGGAACTTTGCCAGGGATAAGGAACAACTGTGAAAACTGATCTGGGAATTAGTGTGTGGCGAATGAGGAGTGGTTTCATGGGACCAGGGTGAGAACCCATCGATTAGTCGTCTGTGTGATTCGAGCATTGGATGAGGATTGGGTGATTCAAACCGGTTTCCTTTGTTTGTTGATTTGTTTGGTGGACTGTTCATTGGTTTGGATGGGACAAGAAACATGGGTTGGCGGTAGTTGTTGTCTTGGATGGATAGCGTAGGATTCGAACCGTTTCCTTTGTTTGTCGTCTGTGTGTTTCGAGCATTGGCAGTAGTTGTTGTCTCGGATGAATAGCGTAGGATTCGAACTGGTTTCGTTTGTTTGTTGGATTGTTTGTCAGACTGATCTTTTGTTTGTCAGAATTTTGTCTGTTCGTGCGGCGGCTTCGGTAGCAGGAGGCGGGTAGGACTAGGATACGGAACCTCGACCTCAGACAGTCCTTGTTGGTCTGGTCCTAGGCGTAGTTTCCGAAATGGTTTGACGAAGGTATTAAATTTGGCCTACAGTCGAATCAACTCCTTTCGCGCTTGGCAGTGCTCACAACCTGCAAGCGTGTTAGAAGTCAATGCAAACAACGATTCGCATGAGTTGGGCTTTCACGTTTGTTGTTAAGGGCTAACAGGCTACGAGCGACATTTTTTCATACTCTTTTCGACATTTTTCAGACAATGACCGTTGTTTCATGTCGATGTTTCATGCATTGATGTTGTTGCACGTCAGTGTCGTGTGCCGGATTCATGCTATGTGTGAGTCATCTATTGCTTTTTCTTCTTTTTATTTTTAACAATAACTTGTGATTTCAATTTTTTATCTTTAACTCGCGTTTGGCTAAAAAATTGAACATTTTTATTGGACAAAAGTTATTTATATAATTATTTTACATAAGATATGTTATTTTTATTTTTTTTTTTAGTTTTTTTTTAATGTTTGCGTTCGGAGGGTTCGTGCTCGGTCGATAACATTCGGGTTCGGTCACGGAAAGGGAACACGATACTATTTAAGGTTTCGTTAGACACTCCTAAAAGAATTATAAAATTTTTAGGATAGTCCTAAGGGTTTTCTAGGATTTCGTGCGTCGTGGTTATACGCATTCCTAAAAGACCATCGTTTAGGACCAGTCCTAAAATAAAGCCGTAATTAAAAAAAAAAAAAAAAAAAAAAAAAAAAAAAAAAAAAAAGGTTAAGTTACTGCTATCATCGGATCATCCAATATTTTTAGATGGATTGGTGAGTATCACTCCAGCGGCACTTCATCAGGGAGGGCGGTGAAGTTCCGTTCAGGAGTGAATGCAGAGAGGGGTTCGTGGTTCACCCTAAATCACAAGGAGGGAGGGAGGGAGGGAGGGAGGGAGGGAGGGTGGGTTTTGCGGGGTGTTTGGCCCTAGCCGCGCGGGTGGTAGGGTATTTCCGCTGGTGGTTTCCAAAAACATCATCGTGGTGGGAGCTGATGTTATTGGTAATGGTGAGAGTGGGTAGAGGTGCAAAATCCGCCCTGAGTCGCGAGGAGGTGGGAGAGTTTTGCGGGGCCTATGTCTGCAGTTGTGGGGTCTGCGGATATAGACCCCTGCCGTGCGGGAGGCAGGGCTGTTCTGCAGGGTGTGGCCATACCTCTCGATGGTCGCCATTTTCTTTTGGTAGTTTGTTGGAATGAACTGCTGGGGATGCTTGATCCCTCGTTTTGGAAATCTTGCTATTGATGCGAGGGACACTGAGCCCGTTTTCCTGCTTGTATAATCGAAAGCGACCGTGGTATGAACCTGGCCGGAGTGCCGTCAAAGGCAACCGTGGTATGAACCTGGCCTGAGTGCCTCGATCATACTTCGATGGTTGCCCCTTTCCTTAAAAAATAAATAAATAAATAGTAATTAAAAAAAAATCTGAATTACCTGGGGCCGGTCAGTTCAAAGACGATATCTCAAGGCCGCTGCCCTTCATAATCAAAAAACAAAACAAAACAAAAAAGCTGCTTTAGAATCCTGATGCAATCACAACATCGATACAATAATGCTTAGGGGATATCCCCGAATTATTCAAACTATTTAAAAAAAAAAAAAAAAAAAAAAAAAAAAAAAGTACAAAGGGGAGAGAGAACGGCATGTGAGAGTGTTGGGCCTTCAGCTATAGTTTGATTTTTGTATTAGACTAGGGTTGAGGTAATTAGTGTGATTTTTGGTGTTTTTCTTGTTCGTCGTTTGGGTAATGATTGTAATTTGTTGTGATTTTTGTGTAGCATTTCTGCATGCGATGAAATGAAAGAGAGAGTGCCGCTCTGTAGAAATGCCATTATGGTCGGTGGTGGGGTTTCCTTGTGAGATGGTGCAGATTGGTGGAAGTGGTTTACCCTAAATCGCGAGGAGGTGGGTGGGTTTGCGGAGTCTTCGACCCCTGCCGCGCGGGAGGTAGGGTATTACCGCTGAGATGTTGAATTTGGGTCAGGTATTCATTTCATCCTAATAGGCTGGTGACCTGATGTCATCTAAATTCTTGAGGTAGAACGGTGAGCATTGCTCCGCTGGGGCTTCGTCATGAAGGGCGGGGAAGCATCCGTAAGGGGTGTATGCAGAATTGA